CTGGGAGAGGAATATTAGTTATTTAGGGAAATTATACAAATCAGGAAGGGATTTCAGGAACTAAACATCTTATCAGAGAAGGGTCATTTATCTCAATAACCACAGGGTTGTTCTGCTCAGGTCACTTCTATAAAACAAGCTCCTTCATCGCCTTGGTATATGGAAACAGAAGCTTAAAATCTTAACATATTGTTTGCAGGAGTAATATTTGATTTTCTTTTTTATTTTTCATTTAATTCTTGTGCTGCTATATCAATGAGAGTGAGTGTATAGGGCAAAGGAAGAGTGTGTATTGCCAAGGAAGCAATAGTCTCTGTGGTCAAATGAAGCTGAGAGGTCAAGAAAGGAAAGGATTGATCAATAGCCTTAGGATTCAACCATATGAAAGTCATTGGTGACTTTGTAAGAGTCCTTAAGAGGGGGCAAGGCACCAGTATATGTAGGGTTACCACTGAGTGAAAGGTGAGGAAATAGAATCAGTCTGTAGGAACAAACCTTTTCAGCAAGTTTGGTGGATAGAAATATATGAGTGCCTAAATTGTTATAGGGCAATCCCAATTTGAAATGGGTTGCATGATTGTGGGTCCTCACTGGTGCACTAAAGGGATTTAATAATAATACACAACTGCAGGCACACACAAAAAGGTTAATAAAGGGTTTATTTACAAAAGAAGGGGAAAGGAAGAAATAAATATTTCAAGAAGGAGAGATAAATTGGTAAACGTGTCCCACTAGTTTCGCTAACCTGGATGGCATACTGAGATCCACTGAAAAGTCAAGGGTCAAGCCAAGAGCCAAGAGCCCCAAAAGCCAAGAGAACAAGAACAAGAGAGCCCCTAGGCCCACATGTCTGGTTTTATACCAAACCTAGTTGTGTGCGTAACTCCACTGTCAGGTCCCAGCATCCTCCCTTTCTTGTGAGGACATAATCTGTAGATTCCTCTGTCTTGATGGCTTTGATCTGAAGTGGGGTTGGAGTTCGCAAAAGCTGTGTGGAATTCCTTCAGGGAATCCTTTCCCTCTAATAAAAGTAAGGACATGGGTAGCTGCAATAAGTTCATCTACTTGGAATGCGCCCATCTTATGACATTTACTCATTTATTCATACACTTACTGAAGAAGTTTAAATAGTTAGTGTGCAGAAATGAGAGAGTATATCGTGGTCGCTACTAAGTTTAAATACTAGGCCTCCATTCCTTGTCCAGCAGACAAATTTAATGAGTCTTGAATGGATAAAGGGAGTAGATGGGACAGTCACTGGAACCTGGACATTAAGTGGATTCAGATCATCAGGCACACCCAAGACTAGTTACCTTAGCCAATCAATGATGCTTGAGTATAAATAGTGCCTTAGGACCCTCACTCTCTGTGCATCAGACCTCTCTTATCTCACCTGATGCTTCTCTTAGCAGTGTATTTT